GCAGAGAGAGAGGGAGACACAGAATCGGAAACAGGCTCCAGGCTCTGAGCCATCAGCCCAGAGCCTGACGCGGGGCTCGAACTCACAGACCGCGAGATCGTGACCTGGCTGAAGTCCGACGCTTAACCGACTGAGCCACCCAGGCACCCCAAGATTTTATTTTTTTAATTTTTTTTTTTATTTTTTCAACGTTTATTTATTTTGGGGACAGAGAGACAGAGCATGAACGGGGGAGGGGCAGAGAGAGAGGGAGACACAGAACCGGAAACAGGCTCCAGGCTCTGAGCCATCAGCCCAGAGCCTGACGCGGGGCTCGAACTCACGGACCCCGAGACCGTGACCTGGCTGAAGTCGGAGGCTTAACGGACTGCGCCACCCAGGCGCCCCTTAATTTTTTTTTTAGAGAGAGAGAGAGCATGAGCGGGGAGAGAAACAGAGGCGGGGAGAGAGAGAGACTATGAAGCAGGACTTCCATGCTCATCAACAAGCCCAACGAGGGGTGTGATCCCACAACCCCTGGGGTCATGACCTGGGCTGAAATCAAGAGTCAGATACTCAACCGACTGAGCCACCCGGGTGCCCCTAAAGATTTTATTTTTTAAGTAATCTCTACACCCAACATGGGGCTGGAACTTACAACCCTGAGATCAAGAGTCACATGCTCTACCAGCTGAGCCCGCCAGGTGCCCCCTTATCTCATATTTGTTTGTTTATTGTCAGTATGGACCCAAAGGATTCTTAGAGTGGATTATTTGTAATTATTGATTATAGCAATTTATTATAGTTATAAAATTCTGTAATTCTATATAGTGAAGTATAACTCATTAATAGTATGTATTTTAATCCTCAAATTGTGCCAGATTTTGCCAGTGGGAGCCTCCTTGGGTTCCTCCTTTCCTCTACTGTGCTGCCTGTGGCTTGTCTAATAGACCAGAAACTTTGACAGCACCTGGCATGTAGGAGACCCTCAATAAATGTTGTTTTAACTACACTGAAAACAACAGCTCCCTTTTTAAAAATTTGCTAGGACTCTACCTTTAATACCAATAATAGTAATTTTAATGATAATTTCCCTAATTATAAAAATAATACCTGTTCTGGGTGCCCGGCTAGCTCAGTCAGTAGAGCATTGACTGTTGATCTTGGGGTCGTGAGTTCAAGTCCCACGTTGGATGTGGAAATCACTTTTTATTTTTTGTTTATTTATTTTTAAAGTTTATTTTATTTATTTATTTTAAATTTTTAAATGTTTATTTTATTTTGAGAAAGAGAGAGAGTGTGAGCAGGGGAGGGGCAGAGAGAGAGGGAGACATAGAATCAGAAGCAGGCTCCAGGCTCTGAGCTGTCAGCATGGAGCCTGATTCAGGGCTTGATCTCATGAACTCTGAGATCATGAACTGAGCTGAAATCAAGAGTTGGACACTTAACTGACTAGCCACCCAGGTGCCCCTGGAGATTACTTAAAAAAATAAATAAATAAATAAAGGTCAGGTCACAATCTTGGAGTTTGTGAGTTCGAGCCTCACATTGGGCTCTCTGCTGTCAGTACAGAGCCCGCCTCAGATCCTCTGTCTCCCTGTCTTTGCCCCTCCCCTGCTCTCTCTCTCTCAAATAAAATAAACATTAAAAATAAATAAATAATTTTTAAAATAATAAAAATAAATAAATAAATAATACACATTCGATGCAGAAAACTCAGAAGTATAGAAAACACAAAGGGGAAAACAATAGAGCAAAAATCATTCTTTGTATCAGATAATAGATCACATTTTGATGTATATACTTCCAAAAATTTTCCATATGGGTATTTCATTTTTGTGTTGTTAAAAATACTTACTATAATGCATCTACACTTTTATAGCCCTTTTCAAATTAGTCTACCATTTAAGAATGTTTCTATCATACAAATCATATATCTGATAAGGAATTAATATCCAGAACATATAAAGAACCACAACTCTCACACACACACACACACACACACACACACACAATTTAAAAATGGTCAAAGAAGTTGCATAGCCATTTCTCTAAAGAAGATAGACAAATTTCCAATAGCCACGTGAGAAGATTCTCGACGTCACTAATCGTTAAGGAAATGCAAATTAAAAACAGAATGAAATACTACTTCACATCCATTGGGAAGGCTTTTTTAAAAACAAATAAAACGAGAAAATAATAAGTGTGGATGAGGATGTGGAGAAATTAGAACACCTGTGCATTGCTGGTGAGAAGGTACAATGGTACAGTCCCCAGGGAAAAAGAGTATAGCGGTTCCCCAAAAAATTAAACAAAGAATCACCATACGATCCAGCCATCCCACTTCTGGGTATCTCTCCAAAAGAATTGAAAGCAAAGACTTGAACAGATATTTGTGCACCTCTGTACCAGCATTGTTCGAAAGAACGAAAAGGTGGAAACAACCCAAATGTCCATCAGCAGGTGAATGGATAAACAAAATGCGGTCTATACATACAATGGAATATTATTTAGCCTTAAAAATGAATAAAACTCTGACACAGGCTGCAACATGCGTGAACCTTGAAAACATGATGCGAAGTGAAATAAACCAGACACAAAAGGACAAATCGGGCGTGGTTCCACTTTTATGAGATACCTACAACAGCCGATTTCACAGACAGAAGGTAGAATGGTGGTTGATAAGGGTGGGGGAGGAGGCAATGGGGATATTGTTCAGTGGATACAGAATTTCTCTTTGGGGTAAGGAAAAAGTTCTGGAGCCCATAGTGTTGGTAGTTGCACAACACTGTGAATGTATTTAATGCTGCCAAACCGAACACTTAGAAATGGTTAAAATAGGGGTGCCTGGGTGGTTCAGTTGGTTGAACATCTGAATCTTGCTTTTGGCTTAGGTCATGACCTCACAGTTCGTGGGATGGAGCCCTATATCGGACTCTGCGCTGACAGCTCGGAGCCTGCTTAAGATTCTCTCCCTCTCTGCCCCTCTCTGATTTGCACTCTCTTTCCCTCAAAGTAAACATTTAAAAAAAAATGGTTAAAATAGTTAATTTCATGTTATGTATATTTCATCACAATTTCAAAAAAAATGTTTATGTCTGTACGTTTCAACCTTTACTGCATATTCCAAACTTTCAAGATCTCCTGAGGATCTTGAAAAAATACTGATGCCCGGCTCCTACCCCAGTCATTCTGATTCTGGTATGGGGTATGGCCTAGGCGTTGAGGTTTTTAAAACCCCCTAGATGATTCCAGTGGGCAGTTTGACTCCCAGTCTGATGGTCTTCCCCCAGCATGGGAAGGTCGGGCTCCCAAACCCGCCTTGGCTGGTGCAGTGAAGTTAGGGAAACAGCCCAAACCATTCTCTCTGCTGGGCACGTCCTCTCTGCCTGTGTCTCCTGACTTTAAGCCTCAGCTCTGTTAGGCCCACCCAAAGTTTCAGTGTTTGTTTCCTCTCTCATTTCTCACAGCACTTACCACATTGTTGTTGGTTTTGTTTGTTTGTTTGTTTGTTTTTGAGAGAGAGAGAGAGAGAGGGAGAGAGCTCATGGCCTGTGCAGGAGCTGGGGAGAGGGAGAGAGAATCTTAAGCAAGGCCCAACACAGGGCTCGATCCCATGACCCTGGGATCATGACCTGAGCCAAAATCAAGAGTCAGACACTCAACTGACTGAACCACCCAGGCGCCCCAGCACGTATCTCATTTTTAATTTATTTACTTGTTCACATTTTTGAGAATCTGTCTCTTGCATTAAGTTCCATAAACTCCAGGAGGGAGGAACAATGTCCTTCCACATTTTATTCTTAGCACTTCTAGCAGCACCTGGCACATAATAAATGCTCAATTAATGTTTGTGGGAGGAATAAACATTGTTGCTCTTCTCTTCCATTGCCTTCCTCTCCGAGGCTCTCATGTTACTCTATGAAGGGGTCATTAACATCACTGTTCCAGCATCTTCTAGCTCTGTGTTGTTTTTTATTGTTTTCACAGAATTTTTGGCACTTGCCCAGTCGCCGCCTTCTCTTCATGGGCTTATTCATTCCTTCATCTGTTCACTGATTCAACAAGTATTTACTGAGTACCTACTATGCCCCAGGCATTGCGGAGGAAAGGTACTTTGGGAACAAAATGACTGCTCTCATGGAACACACAGTCTGGTTGGGGAGATAACTGAATAATCACATACACATATAATTATAAACCACGGTATTGCTATGAAAAACAGGAAAGGGGAACCCAACCCAATGTCGGGGGGTAGAAGTCAGGGGCTTCCTCGGAGAAGGTGGGTTACCTGTGCAAATAAGAATGGAGTGGGGATGGGGGGAGTCATAAAGGCAAGTCAGGCATGTGGAATAGTCGGGGCAAAGGCCCTGATGCAAGAGGGAACACAGGATATTGGAGGGAACACAGTGAGAACTGAGGGGCAGTTAGGGGAGAGACCAGGGCTGGTCTTGAAGGTCGCCTTAAAGATTCTGGTATTTCCCCTAAGATCAATGCAAAGATCACTGATCCTTATAAGAGCTGTGTATTTGAAGGAGAACACTCCTACTCTTTTCTCTCAGTTCCCGGTTACTTTTCCCTCAGGTTACCAGACTGTACCACTGTTGTCCTCCTGTACCCAGGCTTCTTCCATTTCTCTGCCCTCCTCCTAGGTCCCCTCTAGAAAATTCTCCATTTCTCCCACCGCCCAGCACCCTGTCTGGGGTCTCAACCTGGTAGCCCTCTCTGGCTCTCCCCAGTCAGAGCCTGGACTCCTTTTCCCAACACCACACCCTCAGCCTCTAGACTCACCCACATAGTGCACCATGCCCTGGTTGGGTGGCCTGCTGTGGAGGGGGCAAAACCCACAGCCCACGTGGGCTCTGAGGACTCTTGACTCCTGGCATCTAATCCCGCCCCCCCCCCTTCCTGCCTCCTGAGAGGAGCAACTAGGCTGTTCTAGGGGGGGCAGGGAGGGCGGACTGGGAGCCTAACGGGGATTCGGTTCCACACAGGTGGAGCACATGAAAGGGAAACACACAGCAGAGGCGGCATGAGACTTTATTCTGGAGACTTCCATCACTGCGGGAGGGGTGAATTGTTGAGGGAGGGGGAGATTAAAGAGGTGAAGTGGAAGGAGCGCCAATTCTGACAAGAGTGGGGGTGAGGGGATGACAGGAAGTGTGGGGAGAAGGTGAGGCACTGGGGACAAGGGGGAGGGGCAGAGGGAGGAAAGGGCTCCAGTGGGAGGGGGCAGGGAGGGGAGGTGAAGGCACTGAAAAGGCCAAAGCCTCCAGGTTGAGGTCTGGGAGCAGGCAGCGTTTTCAGGAAAGGAGGCAGGCACAGAGCGCAAAGCCGGGGGCTGGGGACATGGATGGCGTCGCGGGCCCTCTGGAGGCCTGCTGCCTGGTGAGGGCCTCCTCACTTTCGGGCGCCCAGTGCCAGGGCGATAATGAAGCCCACGACCAGAAGGAACATGGCGACAGAGAGCAGCACCGTGATGACTACCATGCCCCCCGTCCGGGCCATCCCCAGCCCAATGGATTCCATCTTCCTCCCTGTCAGAAGACAGAGACAGAGCGGGGAGGCCTTCGTGGGCAGGAAGAGCCCCTATCCTGACCCCACGCTCTCCGTCTCATCCAGCCATCCTTCGTCCATTTATTCATCCAACCAGCCAACTGATCCACACATCCATCACGCAAACATTTACGAAGCAGCTTCTATGTTGGTCACTGAGGGTACAGAAATTAATCGGGCGCCATCCCGACACGCATAGAACCTTTAGTTTATGAGACGAGCCAACAGGCACTTAAAATGCCAAGGGCTTAGCACGAGGACATAGGTACAAAGAAGCTAAGGGGGCACAGGGAGAGGCAGCCGGGGGATGGGATGGGAGGGCCAGGGGAGGTTTGGGGGACCCTGATGTTACTTACGAGGAAGCGTGGACATCGGGATCTCTCTACTGGACTCAGTGGATGCCCCCTTCGTCACTAGGTAGGAAACGCTTTTGTAGTGGGGTTTGAGAGAGAGAGTGGAGACTCCTCAGTGATTATCTGGGACTTGGAAGAAGACGGAGCCCAGGCACCCTCCTTCGTAGTCATGCCCTCCTCCAAGAAAGGCCCCTTCTAGACGCCGTCAGCTGCACCCTCACTTTCTCCCCCAGGCTGACCATATCACCTCCCACCAAATGTTAGGACTCAGCTTCTCTTCCTATCAACCCCCCGCCTCCGCCAACAGGTGCCCCAGGCCTGGATCTGGTACCTACTAGTATTTGGTTCCTGGCGCGAGGTTTGTCACCTGGTATGCACTGAGCCGGGTGACGGTGAAGCCAGCCCCACTGTCCACCACGCTCACCAGCTCCCGGCGCCCACGGCACGGAGGCACCATGAAGCTGGATTTCACCACTGGACAGGAAGTCAGGGGTGAAGTCGGGGTCATGCTTCTGGAAGCCCCAAAGAGAAGGGGCAGCAGAGTATGGATGGCTCAGGAGAAAGGTCTACAGGAAGGCAGGAGTGGGAGAAAGGGTGCTGGTGGCGGCCTGGGTAGGGGTCTCTGGGGATTAGGGGGCCACTTTGGGAGGGGGGGTAGCAAACCTTTGCTGTCATTGGCTCTCCGGACCATCAGCGTGGCATTGCCCCCTGTGAGGTGACAGGGGGGCAAAGCAACTAGCAGGCTCTCCGTCAGTGCCGGGGACAGCAGACCAGAAACGCTTGAGATGTTGAAGTCTGCTGGGGAGCCAAGAGGGAGTTCGGGGTGGGGGCACGCAATCCCCTTTCCTGGCCCTGACCCCTGGGGGCCATTTCTAAGGATGCAGAGTCCTCCCCTGCCGTGCTGCAGTCGGCCGGCAGAACACAGGCCTTTGCTTGTGTGACCACCAGGTGGCAGGCTTGGGACGCAAAAGCCGGGTCCTCCGCCAAGCGGCCAGATCGTGGGTGTCAGTAGGGGGCAGAGGTCAACCTTACCCCAATCCTTAGCCCTGGGCCCTTCGGCACATCTCTCTGCCTCCTGGGTTTGGAAGAGGACCAGGAGTGTCCCCTGGGCTCAGTGACTGATGCCTGGTCACTGCCATCATCAGCTCCCCACCCCCAACCAGCCAGGCCAGCTCTGCTTTGGGAGCCCTGGAAGGCCCAGTGCCTCCCCTCCCCACACCCCCGTCAGGTAAGGCAGAGACCTGCAGCCCCCAGGGCCAGGACAGTCAGCAGAATCAGGTTCAAGGGCAAGGTCCGGAAGGGCAGCGGGGATGCCATAGCTGGGCTGGGAGCTGGGACAGGTGCTGGCAGGCTGAGGCTTCCTGAGGCAAGTGAGGCCTGGCCCCTGGGGTGGCTGATTTTGTCTTGGGGTGGGAGTGGCTGGAGGGGAATCCTGTCCAACCTGCCCTTTGGGTCCTACAGCCTCAGGGCAGGCCCCCAGACAGGTTTTTCAGGATGGGGAGCTGGCTCTCGGGTCAGAAGTGGGGATGCCCTGGCTGGATCTTGCTGGCTTAGTCAACTGCAGAGGGGCAGAGTAACTAAAGTGGGAGGCGGAAATCACCCCTTCTTCTGGGACTCCCGCGTGTTAGGGCCTGAGTATTCTTGCCTGTGCGTGCATCTGGGGCATGGCCTGTGGAGGACTGGCCCCCTCAGGTATGGGAGTCTTCCCGGGAGTGCAGCGAGTTATGAGATTGCCGTGGCATGCAAGAAAAGGAAAGCAACGCTGAGGGGCTTCTGCCAGGGCCTTGGCCGGGCAAGGATGGGAGGGAAACTGAGGCTGGTAGGAGGGGACAGGGGCAGCAGACCCAAGGGCTCCTCTTCATGGTCTCCAACGAGGCTCAGGTACTGCTGCTCTGGGAGGAGCTGGGCCGAGGGACGCTAGGGAAGACTTCCAGAGAGACCGGAGGGGTGGCCACCAACCCCATCCAGCAGCGGTGGGCACAGTCAGCCTGGCTCAGCAACCACTGTTGAAACGATTGAGAATAAAGAGGAGAAACAGACCCGGTAAGAGAAAGTGAAAAAGAGACACAACTCCTCTGACCGCATCCCCCAGCCCTGTGCTGGATTAGACCGGAGTGAAAGGGGAGTTATAAGCAGAGAGCAAGGAGAGACGAGGAGAAAGTGCCCACTGTGGACATGAGCCAACATGTCCCTACAGCCAAGGGGCTGCAGATGTCACAGGCTCCTTTTTGCAGATGTGGAAACAGACTCAGAGAGGAAGTCACCTGTGCGAAGCGGGATACTCCACAGGGAGAGGCCAAGAGCTGTACAGACAGCGCTGATGTAGGTCTCTGTGCCATGAACTATTCTGTCTTCCCCAGACCCAGAGAAGGGCCAGGGTCCTGTAAGGAAGCAAAGGGTTGGTGGGGCTGTGTCCTTACTCCGATGGTGGGAAGAAGGGTAGGTTCAAAGCCTGGAGTGTGAGCCCGGGGTGGGGGGGTGGGGGTGAGGGTAAAGATAGAACTCACAGACCCAAGCAGAGGGTCAGAGGGTCTCAGACCAGCGCTTCTCCACATTGAATGTGCCTATGAATCACCAGGGATGAGATGCAGTTTCTGATTCAGTGGGTCTGAGGTGAAGCCTGAAAGTCCACATTTCTAACAAGTTTCCAGGTAACATCAATTGATGCTAGTCTGAGAGGCCCACACTTTGAATTGCCAGATGTTCCATATTGCACCCCGTACACACACACACACACACACACACACACACACACACACACTGGTGGGGATCAGGGGCAGGTGTGTTTCCCCAGTCTCCCAGAACAGGCTGCCTTGGGGTGAAGAACTGAATTCTGTTTTTCCGGCATCTTGGCTTTTGTTCCCTTTTCCATCAGATCCTACCATCATTCTACAAACTGAAAGAGGACTGTTTGCACGTTGAGGAGAACTTTGGAGAGAGGGAAGAAGTAGGTGGTGGCATTCTAGGAGCGAGGGGATCTTCCTGATGCTCGCTCTTCAAATCCCATCACTAACCCGGAAGGATGTTTATGCTCAGGCTTGGGAGGTATGTCTTCCCATTTCACTCATAAACCAAGAAGCAGAAAGAAGAGGTCGGGTTTCTTGCAGGGTGCGTTGTGTTGGGTCCACATCTAAGCCCCCATCCCATCTGAAATCATGAGTGGGGCAGAGTGGAGTAGGGCAGGGCAGAGCCCTGGCCGGATTTTAAAGGGATAAGAGGGCCCTGTGCCTTTAAGCCCTCCCTTCTCCCTCCAGCCCCCCTTCCCCACCCGGCCCTCCCCAGGTTTCTGGAGGAACTGAGAGTTGCGTCTTCTCCCTGCCCTGCCGAGCTGCTCACTGGCTGCTCTGGAGGCTGTGCTTTGCGGTCTCCATGGAAACCATTAGTTGCTAAGCAACTGGAGCATCATCTGTGCTGAGCTCTCGCATCTAATTATCCCATCACAGCGGCCGAGAAGGGTTTGGGGAGCTGCGAGGAGGGGGAGGCCAAGCGCAGGAGCAAGAGGATAACTCTTTTAGCAGAGCAGATTCATTGACACACGGAAGTCATTTAAAGCCACAGCACCCTGTGCCTCTGGAGGATGTCCTCACGATTTGGAGTAAAGGAACCAGGGCCACAAATGTCTGGAGTTTCTCTCTTGGACCCACACCTCCTAGGCTGTCTCCCCCTCAGATTCTTGATTCTAAACTCACACAAGTTTTCTCTTCTGCCTCCTTCCTGCCAAGCTCCATACTCAAGTCAACAAACATTTTATTAAGTACCAGAACTGTGCTAGGCACCAGGTACGCAAAGGCAAAATAAGTTTCTGCCTTCAGGGAGTTCTTAACCTCTCTCGTCTGCCTGGACTAAAAGGTTAGCTCTTAAAGCAGACCTACTCTTTCTGAATTATGGTACTTTTTATCTTTTCTAGAATGTAGTAGTTTTGCAGCCACGGGATCTCAGATGGGAACCCAGCTCTGTCTGGTATACCGATGGTTCTTGCTCCGGATGCCACTCTTCTGCTTGCCAGTCAGTTAAAAACACGTCCACTTGGGGCGCCTGGGTGGCTCAATCAGTTAAGGGTCCGACTTCAGCTCAGGTCAGGATCTCACGGTTCTTGGGTTCGAGCCCCGCATCGGGCTCTGTGCTGACAGCTCGGAGCCTGGAGCCTGCTTTGGATTCTGTGTCTCCCTCTGTCTCTGCCCCTCCCCTGCTCAAGCTCTGTCTCTGTCTCAAAAATAAATAAACATTAAAAAATAAAAATTAAAAAAAACCCATGTCCACTTGACTCCATGGGCATGTGAGCCTCTGATGGGGACTATTGTCCTCCTGATGATAGGTGATACCATTTTGAACCTCAGTTTTCTCACCTATAAAATGGGAAGACTCATTCCTTCTCAATCATCTAGCAAGATATGACAGGTGTAAAAATGCTTTAAAATAAAAGTGCAGAAGGAATATTGGCCATCACTGTCACAGTCGGTGGGAGTAGACTGGGGGAGTCCTGGGGACTTGGATCGAGAAGTAATATGCAGGGCTTACCAAATGTTGGTCTGATGGGAAATGGCAGGGCCTCAATCCTTGAGATCTGAGGAAAAGGCTGGAAGGAAAGGAAAATCTGTGTGTCATTCAGGGTTGAAAGAGACCTGGATGCTCCTTTATTTTTTGTAATGCTCCCTATGATACAACCACTTACCCCAAACCTTCTTCCAGCTTTGTGACCATGTTACCTACCTGAGTACTCTGTTGCAGTTTCCTCCTCTGCAGAAAGGGCCTAAAATCTGTCTCACTGAACTAATATGACCATCACTCAAGCTAATTTATTTAAGAATGCCTAGCATGATATCTGGTTCAATAAATATTAATTTAAGTAATTCATCTTATCTTCTCCTTTAACCCTTACTGCAGATGAAGTCTAGAGGCTCAGAGGCAATAAATGAGTTTCCTGAGGTCACAGAGCTAGTAGGGAATGAGGTGGGATAGAATTTGATCAGTAGAGCTGCTCAGAATTTGATCAGTAGAGCATGCGACTCTTGATCTCAGAGTCATGAGTTCAAGCCCCACGTTGGGTATGGAACCTACTTAAAATTAAGTAATTAAAAGGAAGAAATAGGAATTTGTTTTCCCAATTCTGGCATCGATGCAGGGGGAAATGGTTGGGCGGGAAAGGTAGTGTGAACGGGAAAGTGACGGAGATGTGAGCCAGCTGTTCCTTGTATGCTAAGCATGCCACCGGGGTCCCAGGCACACAGGAACTGCCTGCTCACTCGTGTATTCATTCAGTAAACATCTGTCAAACAACTGCTCAGTGGTAGTTGCCATGACAGGTGAGATACAGAGAGGACAAGAAGGCATTCCTGCTCTCAAGTTGCTGAGTTTTGGAGAATGAACTGGAGGTAGCCTGGCTAAAATAAGTGTAAGAAGATGGGGCGCCTGGGTGGCTCAGTCGGTGAAGCATCCAACTCTTGGTTTTGGCTCAGGTCATGATCTCACAGTTCATGGATTTGAGCCCCACATCAGGCTCTGTGCTGATAGCACGGAGCCTGCTTGGGATTCTCTCTCTCTCTCTCTCTCTCTCTCTCTCTCTCTCTCTGCCTCTCCCCACTTGAGCCATCTATGTCAAAAATAAATAATAAACTTAAAAAAAAAAACTTTTAATAAAAAAAAAAGAGAAATCAGTGGAAGAGGATATTCCAAAAAGGGAACAGCGTATGAAAAGACTCAGAGAAGTGAATTATCCTGACACTTTCTGGGAACCGTGAACAAATACACCTTGGCTAGAAAGAGGTCTTCAAAGATGAGTGGGACAATACCCCTCGCCAGCAGCTGGGTCGCCGGTGGCATTGGATCCTATACTAAGGAGCTTGGTTTTTACCCTAAAGGAAACAGAGAGCCTCTGAGGAGTTCTAATTGTGGACAGAGCATTTTGGAAACAGTGTGGGAAGGGATTGGCAGGAGGTAATGGATTGGCATATTGTAGCAGGGTTAGTCTGTGTGACCAATAGAATTCAGCAGGGGCAATGGTCACTTCTGAGGCTAGATCCTAAAAGGACTTGCACCTTCCTCTTGCTCTCTCTTGGACTGTTCACTCTGGAAGGCATAGGAGCACCCCTACGGGGAGGTCCCTATGGCAAAGGATTGAGGCCTCCTGCCAACATCCAGCCTGGAACCGAAGCCTCTAGACAAGAGCCATGAGAATGAGCAAGCTTGGAAACAGATCCTCTAGCCCCAGTCAAGCCTTCAGATGACTGTGGTCCAGGTCAACGTCTTCACTGCACCTTCATAAGATACTCAGCCAGAACTGCCCAGCTAAGTCTTTCCTGATTCCTGACTCTCAGAATAATATTTGTTCTCACAGGCTGCTAAGTTCGGGGGTACGTTGTTATGTAGTAATAGACAACTGATACAAAGGGGAGGACTGAGAAATGTCCACTGGGCTGGGCATCTTGAAGGACACACATCTTTCGAAGCAGCTTCCTGTAGGTGAGGAAGCCAGAAGCCAGACTGCAAGAGTCTAGAGATGACCGGGAGGGGAGAAGCAGAGGTAAAACAAAGGAAGACAAGGAGACAAGGAAGGAGAGGGGAGTTTGGGATTCAGAAAAGGCTCACCTGCTGTGTTTTTAAAGGTAAAGGGGCACCTGGGTGGCTCAGTGGGTAAGCCTCCAACTTCGATTCAGGTCATGATCTCGCGGCTTGTGGGGTCAAGCCCCACATGGGGCACTGTCCTGACAGTGCAGAGCCTGCTGGGGATCCTCTGTCTCCCTTTCTGTCTGCCCCTCCCCTGCTCGTTCTCTCTCTTTCTCTCTCTCAAAAATAAATAAGCATCAAGAAGAAAAAAAAAGGTAAAGACGTAGGAGAGAGAGGGGTGTGACTGGAGGAGGGAGAAAATGGGGTTCAGATCAGAGGTGGAGTCATTAGCCTTTGGCCATAGGAGTGACACTCTCAAAGCAGAGAGAAACTAATGGGGCAACAAGGGAGAGAAATGCGATACTTTTGTGGAGAGGGGGTGGGGGGAGAACCACAGGAGGAGTCAAGAAGCGAATTAAGGGAGCTTGTCCTGATGGCTCCACTTTCTCTGGGAAGTAGGAAGCTCAGTGGGGAGAAGGGCTTGGGGCCTGAAGAGGGGTGGGAGTTTGAGTAGCTATTTGTGGGAAGAGGACACAGCTACCAGGGGCCTTGAGGAAGGCTGTTTGGTGGCTGTGGCCCAGCTGAGCTTGGGGACCACTGGTCTTCAGGGGCACTGGCTGCATTAGTCAGGGTTCTCTGGAGAAACAGAGCCGACAGGATGTGTATATATAGAGAGAGGTTTATTTTAAGGAATTGGCTCATGTGATCGTGGAGGTTTGGCAAATCCACAGTCTAAAGGGGGAGGCAGGCAGGCTGGAGACCCAGGAAAGAGTTGCAGTTGGAGTCCAAAGGTGATCTACCAACAGAAATCCTTCTTTGGGGGGCAGGCGAGAGGGGAAGTCAGTCTTTGTTTGTTCAGGGCCTTCAACTGATTGGATGAGGCCCACCACACCATGGGATAATCTGCCTTCCCTCAAAATTCACTGATTTGAATGTTAATCTCGCCCCAAAAAACATCTTCACAGAGCCATCCAGAATAACGTTTCACAAAATATCTGAGCACCGTGGCCCCGTCAAGTTGACACATAAAACTAACCATCACACTAACTTTGACATTTTGGGAGTTTTTCAAATTACACGACAGCTTGAGTGCAGAAATGATACAACTGTCAGGTTGTCCAGACTCAAGGCACGGAAAGTTGAGGGTATTGGCGAGCCTGAAGGGTTGGAGAACAAGATAGGGCTAGTTACGGAAAGGAGTGACTGGATGTGCCAGGAAGTGGGGCGCTGAGGGGTGAGGTCAAGGTCGAATGAAGCATGGGCGTGTGGACGGGGACAGGAGGGAGAGTGGCGGCCATCCAGGTGGCTGCTGGGGAGAGAAAGTCGAGGCCCTCAGTGCAGCTGGATGGATCACAACATTGTGAGGTCGGACAGGGGCTGTGGACCCCTGGGGCCAGGCAGGTAACCAAATCAGTAAAACAAGGTGAGTGAAACTGAACAACATACATCTTTGAGGCCAACTTTGCCACTGGGTGCCCCAGATGGTGTCATCTGGGACAGGGTGTCGGAAGGGGAGTGGTGTTTTGCTAGTGAGCAAGGAGGAAGCATATTTGAGGCTGAAGGGATAGAGGCTGCAGGGTTGTCAAAGCAGAGGGGTTCCCTGTAGCCAGTGGGGCAGAGCCTGGCAAGGAGGGATGGCAGTGGAAGGAGAGGGAGGGGAGGAGCAGATCTAAAGAAGCAGATCTTCTGGGCAACCGCCCTGCAGAGGCCTGGCCCACCATGTTTTTCAGACTGTCAGGAGCCCCTGACAGGGTTTAAGCAGGGAAGTGGCAAAATTCAGTATTGTAGGAAAGGCAGAGGCTTGACTGCGGGGGTAATTAAGCCTCTCCTTAGGCCTAAAGGAGAGCTAATCGACCCAAGAAGTAATAGTGGCCCGAATGAATATGAATTAATTTATTCAATAAATGTTTCTTACATGCCTTTGTACCAGTCACTGTGCTAAGTACCGGGCATTCAGAGGTGAGCACGATTGCTCTCCCGGAAAATTATGGTATAATGGGAGATACTGAAGAGTCCACTATTTCACTGCAGCAGGATTTCAGTAGAAAAAGTAACGCTAACAGCTATTATTTATCGAGTGTTTACCACATGTCAGGCACTGCACTAAGTCCTTCCTATATTTTCTTGCTTAACCCTCCGAGCAAACTCTGTGGGTGGCTACTGTTATTGTCCTCATTGTATTAATGAGGAAACTAAGGTCAGAGACACTAAATGACTTGCCAGAGAGGCTCCTCACTGAAAGGGTAACTTACATGGGCTTGGGCAGTCCTGGAGGGCTTCCTGGAGGAAGCAGTAAATAAGTGAAGATCTGAAAGTTGAGTAGGCATTAGCAGGGCGAAGGTGGAGGGAGGAAGGAGTGAGAGGGGAGACTGTTCTAGGCTGAAAGAGCTGCAAATGCTCATTAAGCGACTGGAGGTTTAAAGTGGAATTTGATGGAGGGCACCTGGGTGGCTCAGTCAGTTAAGTGTCTGACTCTTGATCTCAGCTCAGGTCTTGATCTCAGGGTTGTGAGTTCAAACCCCATGCTGAGCACCACGCTGGGCATGAAGCCTACTTAAAAAAAAAAAAAAAGAGGGGCGCCTGGGTGACTCAGTCAGTTAAGCGTCCGACTTCAGCTCAGGTCACAATCTCACGGTCTGTGAGTTCTCCATGAGTTCGAGCCCTGCGTCGGGCTCTGTGCTGACAGCTCAGAGCCTGGAGCCTGCTTTAGATTCTGTGTCTCCTCTCTCTGACCCTCCCCCATTTGTGCTCTTTCTCTGTCTCAAAAATAAAAATAAACATTAAAAAAAAAAAAAGAGTGGAATTTGGGGAAGTCACTGGAGAAGCAGCCAGGACCAGATGAAGAGCTTTGTAAGCCCGTTTAAAGAATTTTAATTTTTATCCTAAGGATACAAAGAAGCCCCTTGAAGGATTAAAACTGGAGAGTGTCATGATCAAATTCGTATCTTATAAAGATGATTTTCGTTGTATTGT